AGGAATGAGGTCTCTTTATTCTGTGTTTGGGTTGTTGATACTCACGTATAGCTTGTTGATATGTAAGTGGAAGCTGGGTGTACTCATGGGTAGCTTTCCAGTCTCTTCCACTGAAGACGGTGAGCTTATTTGTTGGAGGTGACACCCAACCGCCCTCCCATATATTTCCCTGCCACATGTTTGGCCGAATCGACTCGTAGAATACAATCTACACAACCAAGAACAGACCCACTATCGCATGCTCGAATATGCCTCTCAAATATAGAAAGTGTGTGCCAAATTGGCGCAGCTGAGAGAGTCCGTTTCTTGGATCCACCTGCGTCTCAGGGAAACAAAGATGGATTTTGATCCGCAATTAACACCACCTCGTCCACCTCCTCCACCTGACGCCACGTAGCCTCGTAGCCTCGCGACTAACCGGCAAGTGACCCCTCTGTGAGGGAGGTTCATAGGATCTTTCCAGAAGCGACAATGATTTCTGCATAACTAGGGAATTTCAGGGCTTCAGAACTTTATAGATTTACAGCAAAGACTTTGCTTTATCTAGTTGTTCGCATATATAATTTTATACCGTATATTCTCAGTTTTAAAAACGTATAGAATAAAGAGTGGTGGAGATCTGATGTTAAATCTTCGGGTTTCCGCCGAGAGATCAGCAGCTGTAAATTGAACGATTGACTGGCGAACAGCATGATGTGTTGCTGCAATAATTTCGTCTGTTCGTTTGCTTTGATGTTCGAAAAATGAGCTCTGGAAAAACAAAGTGGAAGTAACATCTATCGTGGGTTCCAGGCAACTCGAACTTTATCATTCTGAAATAAAGGCTAAATAAAGCTCTCGGCGTTGATCAATCCCTGAGAGATGCACCATGCATTCGACTTCACTGAGCATCGTTGGAGGTGATTGAATGCATATATGGTCTTTACAATGACTCACAGTGGCCTACCGATGTATCGAGCCAGTGCTGTTATCCTCCCAGAAAAGTCTGGTACCAATTTGCCGACCTCAGAAGGATGGAATGCTTGGTGAGCCAAGGGCGCGGGGATCGATCCGTGTATTGCCGGGCGCCTGCAACCACTGAACCGCACAAGTCCTTTGGAATTGTGAAGTAATAGAATTTTATCCTTTGGGCAAAGATTTGCAGATTCCAATAGTGTTTAACGTTTTGTTTTCTGCCTTCTATAATTTTCATGGCAGGTTACTAAGCGAAATACAACCACAACGTTGCTGAGATATTTGCAAAACTCTGGACCGCAGGTGTCTATGGTGGGGAACGAACGCGCTATTATGTCTATGGTGGGGAACGAACGCGCTAGAAACATTGTGATTTCAACTACAGCCATAGCTTAACTGGGTTCTATGCCCATTTGCGCTCCCCAGATCAACCCCGCTGACGGGTGATTGCTGTGGCAAAAAGATCGATAGAAATAGCTGAGAGACGTGCGAAACAAAGGACCCGCATGGTGTGGTGGTGAACGCGTTACTCCCCGGAAAGGAAAATAGCGCGTTCATTCCCCACCATAGACACCTGCGGTCCAGAGTTTTGCAAATATCTCAGCAACGTTGTGGTTGGATTCCAATAGTCTTCACTGCGATCAATAAAACTGTATGAACTGCGATGTGTTGATTTCAAACTGGAAGCAGCCATTACGTTCGCTACGTATGACTTCCATAGAGGTCACGTCGTCCCTTGTGCTAATCACGTTTGTATGGACAGCGGCCATTTAGTAACTTCACTGGACGTACCTTATTTTGATACGAAGTGCTTAAAATATCCGGCGCCACTTAGGTGTTTGATCAATGAGATGGTATGGATACACGCAACTAACGGATATTAAATCCGCTGTAGTTGAGAGACAGGCGAAACAAAGGACCCGCATGGTGTGGTGGTGAACGCGCTACTCCCCGAAAAGGACAATAGCGCGTTCGTTCCCCACCATAGACACCTGCGGTCCAGAGTTTTGCAAATATCTCAGCAACGTTGTCGATATTAAATCAACAAACTACTGCTTCATCCGTTGCCTCTCTATCTCTATCGAACTGATGACGGGTATAAGGATGGATGAAAATGAATCAGTTGCGACTAAATCATCTTTTATGACTAAACTCCTCGACACACTCTACGTTAAGCCGATTTGTGGTATGATATTTTTAAAGAATAACTTACTCTAAGTTGGCTTGTACGACAACCCCCCACCTGTCTTCCCAACGGTTTACCGCTTCATGGTGGCTGAGAGGTGTTCCTGGGTGTCGGTCTGCGATGTACAGCGGTGGGATTCATTCCTTTAGCAGGGTCTCCTAAGCTGAGAAGGAGTCCGGAATTTCCATCAGGAAACCTAGCTAAGAGTAAACTAATACCAAGATCTACCACCGTCCTGGTATCAAACTAGACGCACGGTGGCAAATCTCTCTCTCTGATCAACAATGACGGCGAATTCCTGTGGTGGGACGACCTAGGGCAGACCTTGGCTTGGCTGACCTTGGGACTCCACGGAACCACAGTAGCTAAGTCAGCAAAACTCCGAAAAAAAAGTGGAATTTATGCCAGCATAACCAGTGAAGACGGAGCATCCAGCTACCTAAGTAGGTTGACCTGTTACCACGGTAACAGTTGTTTATCGTGCTCCATTCGATGTTATGTTAAAGGATTTCAAGGTGTCATTGGGACGAATCACATTGTAAGCTGGAGCAAGTCCGAGAATTGTGCTTCTTTCTTTCAAATTTATGTTTTGTAGATGTTTAATGACTCTTAAGAGTTAAATATGTGAATGTAGCTGGTTGCCATCTTGCCGAAATGCAAGTTTTGTCTAGGAAGTTTTTGAAGTCAATTCGTTCCGTCCGATGATGGCGTCCAGAGATGATGATCGACGTCTTTTCGAGCATTTCGTGATTGCCGGGCTCTCACAGGTGAGATTTCAATCAAAACTTTTCGTTTCTCAATCTGCATGCCGCGGCTGCTCAACAGACTGCTTAAGAATTAGCGTTAGTTTCGTGTATTAGTAAGTTCTGAACTACCCATATAGTGATTAACATCATTAAACTGCCTTAGTCATAGCTGTATAGCTGACGATCTCTTCCACCAATCAATTTGTTGAATGAATGAGAACTTGAGCGAATGTATTCTGATTGAGCTTCGAAATGATCTTCTTGCTTATATTTTTTAATATTAGATATTGATTCGGAGAAAAAAAGACGAAAAGTTGCAGCTAGCCACCTAGTTAAAAATTATCTTTCTGACAAGTTGGTCATCTAATTGGCGAACTACCTTCCATGACAAGGCGTTATGGGCGTGCTTACTATATTCGTGCTTAAAAACCCGTTGCTAACTTTAAACCTATGCGAAAGGGTTCTCGAGTTCATTAGTCATACGTGTGACTCATTAATTTCAGTTTAGGAAGCCCCTGAGCAAACTGCACCACCGACACAAGAATTTGGCTCTCGGAACAACTCCCCTCTCGCTCCAATCACAGACATCTGCGTTATTTTCCCTAGTCTTGGAGAGACCGTGAGTACAATTTGTGTATTCCTCGTAGTAAAACATCTGCATGAACCCCAAGTATGTTAGGCTCCTGAAGGATACGAGATTATTGAGACCACTCAGCTGGGTTATGCCGCAGATCTTAATCATGGCTCCATTCGTATGCCCAGCGTATTCCTTTGTTATCGCAGAGGATACCACAAGCCGCCATTACTCGATATCGGATTGATTGAATATGGTGCGTTATAGAATTCTTCTATTTAAGCCAATACCCAGTAGCACTCTTTCAGGACGAGGGGAAAAGCCAATGGTGGACACAAACATTGTTCAGACTACCCCTTTTGGAAGGCCTGCTAATGTTAATAATGCCTCGCAGGTATGTCTTAAAGGTTTTAGTTAGACGAAAAATTCTTCAATTTGTAATCTCTTAGAACATTTTCTTGACTTACCGTCGAGCAGTTCCTAGCAGCGCACCAAGTCAGTTCGTCGTAACAGACATCTGCGTCATTCTTGCCAACAAAGGAGAAATTCCGCTGCATACATATTACAAAATCCCCAAAAATCTGAATAAGGTCAGTTTTTTCTTGGTGTAGTTTTTCCTTCAGTTGTTTCCTTCTTTAATTATAGGGTATGGTGGGCTCAGATGTATATATATGTTATAAGAAATCACAGTGCTCTACAAAAAGATTAGCATATAAACCAACTGTGAGTATTTTCTCATGTATAACTGCTGTGGGAAACAATCTTTTCTTTCATTTTCCTATTTCAGGTACTGGATTACTTCCCGAAAGCAAAAGGCGATGAGGAAAACCCCACTGATTTTAAACTGGCGCAAAATATTTCACTCTTTTGTCTCCCAATGGGAGCTCTTATCGAGTGTTGGCCTGTTAAGTGCCAACCACCTGACAGAGTATTCTCCACGTTTGTTCTGACCGATGAGGTTTGAACATCCTTGACCTTAACGGTCTAGTACTCTTTTTAATGTTTTCTTTTTTCAGAATGGTACGAAGTTCTATGGTGCGTCCGTTTCATTTTTTGAGAAATACTCGGGTAAATTATCTGAAGAGCAGTTGGATCAATTAGACTTGATTTCATCTGATCGGCTAGACGAAGCTGGTGCTGTTGAAGACAACTCGAGCAACAATGACCCTGCAGATGAGGTTTGTACCACAATTTGGGTTTTCCAAAATTCGGTCTTTGAAGTTTCAAGGTGAAAAAACAGACGAGAATTGTCTGGAGTTGTGATCAAGAAGTCAGTGTCCTCCATTATGTGTGGAGCAGAGATATTTCAGTTCATGTTGAAATTCATTAGTTTAGATGAACAAAGGTCAAGGTCTGCGAAATTCTGTCAACAAGGTGTTGTTTCAACCGTTCTATTGCCGTTGAAGTCAGATTTTTTAGAGCCAACTTGTCTTTTTATCTTCTTTTCGAGGAGTGTTTCAATTTTTTCTGGAAAATCGGTGATTAACAGTGTTGAAATGAAAATTTTTGAAGATGAAGAATGAAGGAAATGTTGAATCTTCAGCTTCTCAAATCAAATACGAAATGGCCGAACTTTATTTCAATTTCAGATGGCTTTCTACACCAATATTGCAATATGCATCATTTCTCGATATCCATTCTTTAACTCGTTCAAGCGATTTCTTTACTACATCCATAGGATGTCCATCGGAGGAATACATGCTGTTCCGATCGAGCGTTATATTTCTCATTTGGTAAGTTGTTTTAGGTCTTATTGATGTTCTTACCCTATTCACTTATGGTTTTTATTAACTTGTTGTTCATGGTAAGCCTACGAGCATACGCGAGTTTCTTAATTTAACATTACTTTATAGTGGTTGGCATCTAGGCCATTTTTGCCTTTGAAACCACTAAAGTTCATATGAGCAAGCAAAGTACTCGCAAAACATTTCAATAGTGCCAACGAGAAGTTCTGTATTATAGAATTTTTTTATGTACACTGTTTTTTAAGCAATTACCTCCTCAGTTACCCCCTTTAGGGAAAGTGAGGCCGTGCGCAGAACTCATATCAGGTGAGAAATGTGAATTTCTTGGATCAAAAGTCGATCTGAGATAAGAGACTACCTCATCATTCACCCGAAGCATATCTGAAGTCTTTGCATCATCAGCGTTTTTGCTTCTAGTACGAGAGTCATAGCTCTAACTGCGGAATAGTTTGCGACTCGACTTGTGGAAGTTATAAAGTATTTTGTTGTACAGGTTCGGTACCATAGGTTTATACTACTAGTTGAGGTTGTATAATGTTTAGAGGAGGTGGTTCGACCATTGCTGTCGGTTTATGAAAACATTTCGTCTTTGAAATTTGATGAATAGTCATGCTTACTTCACTAAAAATGGCATGCATATAAATATAAAAAGTGTTTAGTGCAGGTTATCATGAGTCAAATATGCCTCATTCCATTTCCGACTGTTTTGCTGCGCAGAGCTTTTTTCTGCTATTTTGATTTGATTAGTAACTTCCTAACTATAGACGTTTTAGTTCGGTTACCACTCCTTTACGACACAACGTTGTGTTGTTTCGCCAGTGGTAACTATCGAGATTGCTTGAGATCAAGTACCATCTGTCCGATTTCTTGTATAAAATATGGTGACAGGTGTACTTGTGAAGACCGATATATATCATCATTTAAAATACTTAGTTAAAAGTCGACCAAAGCACTCTTCTTTGTGCTGTGAAATACAATTGTACGGTGAAGAAAATTCCAAGGTTAGCGGAATTGTGTTACTACAAGAGCTAAAAACTTCAACGTGCAAGTATTCAGGTGTATTTGCAATAACTTATGCAAGTTTATTAGTTGACCATGATGCAGCTGCAAAGATGTTTTGGATTAACGCTAAAACTCCCGAAGTGAATCGAGAAGATAGATTACTCAGTTGATATTAGATAGAGATATTGGCCCTTTCTGCCCTGGTGATCCCACTTCTACAGAATGAAAATCTAGAACTATGGTTCTTTTGCAAAGCTGTCTATCATTGAAGTTTACGTTTACGACTCCTCTGTGGGGCTGTTGAATTTTTTTGGTATTATGTATTAATGTAGGGGACGCGTGTAACGCAGTAGTCGGAGGCGCCCTACAGTATACATGGGATCGATCTCCACGCCTCAGGCTCACCAAGTCTTCATTCAGTTCGAGGTCTGCAAATTGGCACCAGACTTGTCCGTGAGTATAGCGACACTAGTTGAATACATCGGTTACCATCGCGAGTCATTATAAAGGCCAGATATTCATTCAGTTACCTCTAACAGTACTTAATGAAGTTGAATGCATGGCGCATCTCTCAGGAATTGATCAAAGCCAAGAGCTTTATGGTTTTAACTAAGCTCTAACAGTTAAAATCCATCGGAATGTGTGCTACTGTGAACTAAGTATTGTTTTCGATAATGGAGACCGCAGTATCAAGTATTACGAAAATGTAATTTGATGGGGCATCAGTTCTGGGGAGAATTCTGCCACAGCATTCGTTCTTTCAAGAAGTTTTATGGCATCACTTCAGATGTACGAAGTGTCGTTCCCTACTCCTCGTAGACCTCACGTCCTAATGCAGCTTGGGTCGGAGACTATTAGTTTTGACTCGTATGACGATAGTCAGCTACCATTAAATGGTAATCTAATCTTGATTTTATTCAACCTTGGAAGTTTGTGTGCAGCTTGGTCATCTATATAATTTCTTAGGTGCTCAACTATGTGATACTCTAAAGGCGCTTGGAACTGACAACCTTATATATTTAATGATGCTTGCACTACTGGAGCAGAAAATCCTGGTGCACTCGCTAAGGTCAGATCGTTATGGCTTCTTGTTCTCGTTATGACTTTTAAAATTAGTGTTAGTATTAAATGTGGTGCAGTCTACACTTTTTAAATAGGTCGTGGATGTTGACTGCCGTTTCTGAGAGTGTGTGTGCTTTAATGTTTCCCTTCCACTGGCAGTGTCCTTATGTGCCGCAGTGTCCGCTTGGATTGGCTGGAGTACTGCATGCCCCTCTGCCATTCATAGCCGGTGTTGACTCCAGGTTTATAAGTCATAAACCTTAATGTACTTTTTATTATCTTTTCACCTTGTTGTCTTAAAGTTTCTACGAACTCTGTTTGTTTAGGTATTTCGACCTTTATGAAGATCCACCTGCAGATGTGACGTGTTTTGACTTGGACACTGCCACGATAAGTCAGTCGATAAATCGTCTAAATCTGAAACTTTCTTTCTTGCCAAGAAAACCCACGAAGCAGCTGAAAGCTACACTAGACGATTTATTTAGGAGGTTGGGGCATTTTCTTCAAATTCGTATTCTAGTGACAATTTCCAGCCAGTTTTTAGGCTGAACAAGGAAGCATTTGATCTTGGGAGCAAGAAAGCAGATTACGTCCCTGTCGATCGCGAAATGGTCATCCAGAAAAAGCGAAAGGAGCTTGAATTGGCAATTCATGATGCTTTTCTGAGGTTGTTTGATGTTTCTTTTTTCCAGAAATTTCTTCTTTGAAAAGTGAAATACTTTATATTGAATTTTCTCAGGTTTATGACTAGCTTAATGCGTGGATACCAGTCGTTTTTGAAACCCATTAAAAGCGCACCATCGAGTATTAGTGCAACTGATACTGGTAATTTATTCGATTTGGATGGTTTTTTGAGGTCAAGAGATAAGTCTGCAGTCGATTTTTTTAAGAGGTATTTTTTTTATAGATTACCGTAGAATTCACTTGCGCTTCACTCTGTCAGAGGTTCAGGTTTTGTTCAACTCAATCCTTTATCCGCTTCATCGAAGAGCGTAGTTTCATTTCCGATAAAAATACGTATAATGCATTTTTCGACGATTGTATTTCGAAAGTTGATGCAAGTGGTGGGGAACTGTTAAATATTTCTTCCAAATATTGAATTTCACGCTATGATCTCTTTCCTGGTGATCGTGCGACTTACTTTAGAAGGAGGTGAAGTGTGTCTTCTTGAAACTGACTCAACAGTACACCTTAACAACACATCGGTTAGTACCGAACTTAATTACTGCTATTCTTATCTAAACCTCGTTTTAAACCAAAATGTCTTTTCAGGTTTTCATAGCTCCACCAGAACCTATCATTGATATAGCTACAGGAGTTGAACGAGAATTCAAATACGAATGTTTTCCTCGGCGTTTGGATCCCGCTTTATTCCAGTTAGATCAGCTGAATCTGAACCGTAGTACCGATCAACAACAAGTGCCGGTTCAGTATGGTAATTTTTTCATCGATATCATAGAAATTTCCATCTAATGGGTGGACATGCTGGCTTATTGCTTTATTTAAATACATTTTTACGCAGATCTGGTTTTGTTTCTGCAGAAATATCTTTCGGTGTTATAGAGCATAATCGATGTTCTGCTGTGCGTACTAAACCAGAGGTGAAATCTTCAATGCTCGCTGCAACAAACTGTGTTCGCACTAATCCTTTACATTGGCCGAAAACACTGCTCTTCTATTCCTATTCCTTATGGTTCATGCAGTTACCTAGTTTAATTTCATTAGCACCAAACAAGCGGAAAATTTTGCTGTTAGCCTTCCACGTAGGTATTGCTTCTTTAGATTTATGGCAGCAAGTGGCCTGTAATACATGAAGTCCCTTTTTAGATCCTAGACCGCATGGAGCACACCGAAATCTTTCCACTAGACCAAGTTTGCTATCGTATTTTGATCGAACTATGTGGCGAATGTGGAGAGCCTTCCTTAGCAGTGAAAGTACTCCAGGTAAAGATGTTTTCCTTACGCACAATGTTGTCAACGATACGTACTTGAATTACAGGCAATGCATCGTGCAGGTGTTGAGCAAAACGCGGTTACTTACGGAATTTATCACCGTGCTGTTCTACATGCTAAATGGCCTACTCCGACTCGCCAAAGAGCAATTTATGCTTGGACACAACTAAGGTGGAAAGACAGTTTAATCTGGCTTTTTTAAATAGTTCTTGTTTACGGGGTTCTCGAATCATGACGGTTGTAAAAATATCGTCATGTTCTATCATCCTTGACTACCGAGAAATAGCAGTAAATATATGTTTTGGCTTTTATTTACTGCCTATTCTTTTCAAAGAATGAGCACTAAATAAAAGACAAAACATTGCAATTTCGACTGCAGCTCCAGCTTTACTGGATTCCGTGCCGATTTCCCAAATCGTTCCCATTGTCGGGTAATTACTGATAGCAACGTAAAAAACTGGCTGTGGGAAAACCAAGGCAAAGGACTCAGTTGGTCCAGTGGATAACCGGTGAGAACCTCGGAAAGGGTAATTGAGTGGTCGAAGTCCACCTGAGGTTCCGAATTTGCTTATATCTCAGCATCCTTGTCGCTATAAATAATTCATCAGGAGGCTGAGATATTTCCAAAACTTCGACCCCAGGCCAGATTCGAGCCTGCGATTACTTTTTCCTGGGTTCTCAGTTGTTACCCACTGCAACACTGTGGCCCTTGCAATCACTTGTGAACGGGAATGACATCGTACCCTGCCATCATAAGTAATAATAGGCGGTAGATAAAAAGTTAAACAAAGATAACTCACACGTCCGACTTTCCATTAACCTCGGCATTGATTGAACAATTCTTTATACTTTTGTTCAGCAAACACGAGGCGCTATTTTATTTCTTTATTTATGTACAAGCTGACGTTTCGGTGGATTTCGCCTTCCTCAGAGCTTGGAAAGGTTAAGTCGACAGCAACCTATTCGGCCAAACACCTCCATAACGAAACAGAGAAGACACTAAACCAAGATTTCAATCACATTGAACACAGCTCTGGACACTCACCGCTTTCTATCAGTCTTCCACTGAGTATGTCGCGTGAAGACCAAACGCACAGAATTCACATGGAAGCGTGATGTGCCCCACCCATCAATAACAGGTTTATATACTGTCCAATAACACGCGCGATAATGAGGCATTCTTCCCTGCGGTTCATTTTCAGATCTCTGGAATTAATCCAGAACGCCTCGAGAGTTTTTCTCGCTTGTGCTCTTGATTCCTGTGCGAGGATCGTGACACGAACTTCAATGTCCCCTCCGTTATATCTCTGGGTGCTATGCGTGCCTAGTGGGGTATTTGGTTTATGTTTGCCGGCTAGGTGTCCCTTGATGCGGACACAGAGGGGTCTGCCCGTTTCCCCAATGTATTCGCCTCTGCGCGCCTTACAGGAGATCAGATAAACTATACTCGAGCTCATGCAATCACCATCTTTACCCTTGGGGCAAATTGTGCAGCTTTGCGTTGCACATAGACAGTCATATAGGCGGCTACGAACTAGCTGGCGGCTAAGATTACTCAGTGGTATTTCAACTGCGTTTTCTAAATTCTCTAGATCCGCCCCAAATACCCCGCTGGGCACGCATAGCACCCAGAGATATAACGGAGAGGACATTGAAGTTCGTGTCACGATCCTCGCACAGGAATTAAGAGCGCAAGCGAGCAAAACTCTCGAGGAGTTCTGGATTAATTCCAGATATCCGAAAATGAACTGCAGGGAAGAATGCCTCATTATTACGCGTGATATTGGAGAGTATATAAAGCTGTTATTCTGGTGGGAGGGGCACATTACGCTTCCATGTGAATTCTGTGCGGTTGGTCTTCACGCGACATACTCAAAGGGAGATCCATAGAAAGCGGTGAGTGTGTGGAGCTGTATTAAAGGTGAATGAAATCTTGGTTTAGCGTTTTCTCTGTTTGATTATGGAGGTGTTTGGCAGAATAGATTGCAGTTAACTTTACCTTTCCAAGCTCTGAGGAAGGCGAAATCCGCCGAAACGTCAGCTTGTATGTGAATAAAGAAATAAAATAGCGCCTCGTGTTTGCTGAACGAAAGTAGAAAGATAGCTCAATTTTCTCCCTTGTTTTCAGACTCTTCATATCAGCTCTTGCGAGATTCAAGGCTTGTGTTAGGTGGGATGCTCGTAATGCAGTAGCTCATGTTGAACCACAGTCTGCAAGATACGCAGGATATTGTAACGAGAAAACAGCTGAGGAAAAGCGTCTAGTTCGTCAAAAACTTTAACAGCTTTTGAGAGAATTTGTAAGACATAGTTCTTGCAAACTGTTCCAGTTGTTTTTATAGGACGCTGTAGAAATGGAAACGAAACCTTACGTTATTTCTTACCATGCTGTGCAGGACAATGGGAAAGACCCACCATGTTCTGATAGCGAGGTGAAGTGTTTGTTTATAGATTTAGGTACACGGTTTGTGGAAACACCAATTGCCTCTTGGTTTTTGAGGTATTCGTGTTAATGAAAGCCATATATGGCTTAAATATTGCGCGAATTTTCGTGCTGCAGTTCTGGTAACAGTCAGGTAGAGTTCTAATGTTGGACATATCTACTCCTTGTTCGCCAAGCTCTGCTAGGTTTCTATCTCTTCGGCGCCCTCAAACTTTTTTTCGTAGTCGACAAAGGTCAGAAGTAGTTATTCAGTTGGTATTGCCGGAAAACTTCTGTGACACTGGACACGGTTTTATTATGGTCAATAGTAGTAAAATCTCCATCGAAATCCTGCTTGCTCAACAATTAATGCTTCATTCAATGTCCGGGTAGTACAGCAATTCGAACTTAAATTATTGATCCATTGCAAGTTAACTGCCATCTGTGACGTAGCGTTTGTTTGATTGCTACGTTTGTGTCACCTTTATATCTTTATTCGTTGGGTCCAATAATAAGGAGCACAGTAGATCATGTAGTTCCCTCAGTTTTCTCAGCTTATTTTTGTTCACTCTCATTAAGGACAAATGATAAAGCTTCCGGTGTTGATCAGTCCCTTAATGTTGCCCCATACACGCGGCTTCATCAAGTATGTTTAGAGGTGCTTGGATGGGTTTTTGGCTTACACGTTGGCTTTTGATGCCCTACTCTTGATGGATCAAGTCAGTGTTTTTCGGTCGCGGTGCTTGCTCTTACAAAGCCTTCCTTCCTTCCGTGTTCGGTAAACCGGTGCAAAACCTATCACTCCAGTTCTTTCGCCTCATCTTAACTGGATGGTGAGTTGCAATGTACACCGAGGGCTCATCCAGCAATACTGTCAAAACTGAGGATGAGTTCAAACTCTTCCCAGAACAGCGACCAAGCAAGTCTTTATAACGAGGGCTGGGCAACTTATTCGTGGTAATCTTCTTTGAAAACAATCCGGAAAAAAGCCGTCACATTAAAAATGTCAAGGTTTTCATATTCCTTGAGTGAGTAGAATCAAATAAGTTACTCTAATGGCAATGAAAATGTGTAGTTCATTGGTGCTCATTCGAAGGTGGCACGCCTTATACAGTGCGTTAAAAAGACTTTTCAATTTCATGAGGCAGTTTTAGAAAAGTGTACCTTTTGTTTCCAATATGCCACTGTGCAAATTTCAATTCTCTTTTATTTCCTATTCTTATTTTACCCTCGAGTTTTGTTCAGGACGATCCACTGGGTAAAAGTAATCCTTTGGATCCCCTTGGAGCTCTTTCTTCTACAGAAGTACCTAAGGTAATGTTTTAAGAATTGAATTATGTGGGAGAAATTTTGTAACCTTAACGTCTCCTAGTTACATGTCCAGTTGCTGAGTATTGTAGAACATTCATTTATTATGCAATGCTTTATTTTTAGAATATACCCAACCTTATTTTCAAATTATAGCTTTTTCTGTCATCGTTAATGCTAAGTACGAAGATACCTACTTGGATACTTGGATGCCTCCTCCTCGCTGGTTGTGCGGGCTCCAGCATAATTTCCATTTTTTTGGGGATGTGCTGGTTTAGCCATTGTAGTTCCTTTGAATCTCGAGGTAAGCCTGACCTTAAGCTCCAGCTCTTCACCACCAAAGGCAATCGCAGCCTTTGTGGACCAGAGGAAGATTTGCTACCTTGCGACTAATTTGATACCAGGACGGTTGTGGATCCTCGAATTGATGTACTCTTTGCTGAGCTTCCTGACAGAAGCGCCGGGCCTTTCAGCTTGAGAGTTCTTGCTGCTGGAGGGATCAATCTCACTGCTGCACATCGTAGCCTGACACCCACGAACACTTTGCAGCCGCGATGAGTGTATGTTAGAGATGAAGGTGTTTCTCGTTGTGCACATCATTACTGTTTGCAGGCTTTCGGATGCTTATTTTCTCGTAATTTTCTAGTGAATATAGTAATAGAATGCAATGTTCTCTTTATTCGTCACCGGCTGCTGACGTAAAATATGAACTATTGCCTAGTATTCCACTGCAAACATTATATGGAAAGTGCTATTTCTTGTCTCATTTGAAGTTAACTAAGCCTCTACTCTGTTCCCGTGATCCACTGAAGTTGGGACATTTTGTGGGTACTGGGTAAGATAATGGGGTAGACTTTGACCAGGCTGTCGTGGTCACTAGGAAAACACAATGGTTAAGCCAGAAAAACTCCGAAAAGTTTAGAATATGCTGGGGCCCGCACAACCAGTGAAGACGGGCCGTCCATGTATCCAAGTAAGTAAGTATCGTTAAGATAAATACGGGGTATTATGCATTAGGTGGTATTAGCGAAAAGGTCCAAATCGCTCTCATTTGCTCTGTTTAATTTACAATTATTGGAGGAGCAGGACTATGGCTACTTGCGATTGTTCACTATCAATAACTTTACCGACCGTTTTAATGCCTCTTGTTTTTATTTACTAACATCGGTAAGATTTTACTCTTGCATCTTTTATAACCAAATGAACGTGTAAGATAAAGTATGAGATAACAAATGTGCTTTTAAATATCCGACCTCATCGTTTTTCAGTTTTCAAGTTTGCTTTAAAACGTAGAACATACGTTTGTTTGTAATCTCGCAGCACCGTTGATGAACTGCGGTTCTCCTTAGAAATAGTACTTTGTACTATTAATCTTTTCCATAATTTCTCCGTTTAGTTTTTCAATATATTAATTTCAGAGTTCTGCAAATAACTTGCCCATGAGTCCTGGCAGAGCAAAATTCATGGCTGATTTTGAGTCCACCCCATTTGCTAATGAATACAGTTCGAAAATGGAAAATAAGGTGCAATTACCCTTATGAACTGTAGACTGAAGTCCTAGTGAGTTTGTCAAGGTAAATTCAGACACCTAATAAGTCACTTGGCTGGTTGAAAGGAATAACGAACAGTCCTTTGCTGAAGATGATACGTAGCCAAACGTTTGGTTAGTTTTCGTGAGCGATATATTAACAGTGATTGTGTTTGTTATCTAGTCATGAATTTCTTTTCAGATAGTCCTAAACTAGCCGATAGTGACACCCATGGTGTGTCTGTAAGTCCCAGTTTTCATGCATTAGTCAATCAGATGTGGAGAGGTTACGATGATGTTCGCATGGATGGTAAGATCCGTACGTATATATTATAGACTGTAGGGAAATGTTCGAAAAGCTTGTAAGAAAAATTCTTAGCTTTTAAACTAATAGGTGTAGAAGTCAATATGTCTATTAGTCGTCTTCCTCATCCTTTAGTAAATGAGGGGTAACCATCATTGACGGGCATTTTTTAAGCGTTGTTCATTCCTTGAAGTAAGAAAAATACTGCCAGTAAAAACCCATGCCATCCTAAAGACAAAAGCCTATTATCATTGCATCAAACATCTAATTTATTGCAAAATTTCCAGCTGTTTCTTCCAAATTAAAGCTGGGTGTTTCTTCCTTGGTACGTGAAGTGAAAAGCATCAAGCGATCTTATCGTGAGCGAGGTAGCGGCACTCTCTTCGGCGTTGACGTGGTTAGTGTACTAATTGTAATTTATGGTCCCTTCATTCGTGTTTTGATTTTGTCTATTATTCTACTATTTTCGTTTCGATGTAGTCTTAGTAGTCGACGCACTGCAAACAATTCGCGAGAGCCATTCCGAGTTCTTAAAGAGCATTTACATCTGCAGTGTAAATGGTTCACGTTAACTATGAACACGTCCGCCCATCGTTTACGTCTTCTTCCAATATGGCAATTAAAGTCTACAATTCTTTTTTCCCTATCCTTCATTCGTTCTCATTATGTCACCGGCTCATCTGCGTTTCGCAATCGATCTGTATTCTCCTTGGTCCCGAAGATATTTTGTAGATCAAAGTTTGGCATTCTGGCAGGACGTTGTGAGTACCGGTTGGATTGCAAAAGATATCGTTTATGCGCTCTGTGCGCGGAGTTCTTGAGATGGTTGAAGTGTCAGGCCACGTCTCTGCCTTAGAACGCTGGGGTCTGTTGAATCTAAAAGGTGAGCGCGGACATTCTGGCCTTTCACTTGGTCGGTAGTTTCTTTGAGAGGCCCGAATGCGCCCTGTGCTGCTCTTCTTGTTCTGTCTAATTCCTTCTTCGTGTTCTTTATGTTCATTGAACGCCCAAAGTATAGGTACAGGGTGATTTCTGTAATCAGTGAACCACCCAGTTCAATTTGTTCTCCTTTACACTATGGGTTTTTGAAGAAATAGGTCTTCTTTCGATTTATGCCCTGTCCATTTTTTTTCGTATCGTTGGGCTCTTTGAGCATTGTCACTGCTTCACTGGTATCCCTCGAGAAGATGATGAAGTCATCAGCAAATATCAGTACATATGCTTTTCCCATCCCAATCGAGTAACTCGTTATCTACTGCAATGTACCAGTAAACAGTAACAGTCAGGTTCTTATGTAGGACGGGACAACTCCTTGTTTGACAATCGCTGTTGGGAATGCATTCGTTTTGACACTCTCAAACGGTTTCTCCTAGTCGATAAAGCCTAAAACAACCTAGTGGTAATCACGACAGCATTCTGTGACCCTGGACACGGGTTTGATGTAGTCCATGCAATAGAGGCCTTGTCGGAGTCCTGCTTGCTTAAGTGGATGTTCTTCATTAAATGTCTTTGATATGCGTAAAAGGGTAATCTTCATGAATAGGCTTGTAAAGCGCCCTCAATAAGGATTTGCACAATGGTTACAAGAATTTTTCGGTCACTTTTCTTCAGAAGATTGAACATGCGAAATATCCTGTACTGGTCTGGGATTGTGTCCTTCTGAAGCAAACATGTCATACAGGATGCGAGAACTGCACATAATTTGTGGCTTCCGGATCGAGCGAAGTCGGTAGTAATATTATTGGGTCCTGAAACTGTGCCTTTCTTCATTCTTTCTATCGCAATTCGAACTTCAAGGCACAACTGAAGGAAGCTAGGCGGACACTGCAGTTAGAGCACTGAGGAACTGAGGGACTGGATGAACACTGGAAGATTAGAAAATAAGCACTGGAGTTGGAACCCAGGCACTGGCAGATTGGAAGACAGACACTAGTCTCTATGAATGCTAGTGCTCCTTATATTCTGTCCTCAATGGGTGGGGGTTCACAGAGGGAGTCAGAGACAGTGCTGACCCAGGTCATGGCACGGTACATGCGGAGAAGTACATTAAATGAGGCGGTATGCCAGAGGTTTTTATCGAAACTACATGGCGAAACGGTATAAAGACTTGTACATTATGAATGGATAGATTTAAGATAGTTATAAATAGTTAGTATAGGACACATGTGATATTGTAGGAAATAGGAACTATTTAAGGAATAGTTACTATACCCATGAAGATAGGCATACATCGTTGCGCACATCGTGCAGAAGCCGGTGTTTTTATCAGCTAGCACAAAGCGTAGTAATAATATTTCGAAACCGACTTTCTCTAAACCTCGGTGTGACTAATCAATATGTATTCTTTCTTGATAAGCTTGCACGAGGTTGATAAATATATTATTATATATAAATATGATGATAAATGTATTATTATATATAATTATATATAATATATATGAAAAATATTATTACTACGCTTTGTGCTAGCTGATAAAAACACCGGCTTCTGCACGATGTGCGCAACGATGTATGCCCGGAAGAAATACAAGCTGTTACCACCGGACATTATCATTATATATCCACCATCAGCATCGTGTATAAAAAGGCATCACTGAGTGAGGCATTCGATTCGAGAAGATGGCTCAATGGGGAAGACCTGGCTCGACACGAAGGCGAAGCTGCAACGTCGAGACGAACAATAAGCATGGACCATCGACTCGGACCATCGGCTCTGTGGAAGACGAAGACGTCGAAACGTTAGCCGAAAATAAATATATTTATCAACCTCGTGCAAGCTTATCAAGAAAGAATACATATTGATTAGTCACACCGAGGTTTAGAGAAAGTCGGTTTCGAAATATTACTTAAGGAATAGTTACTATAAATATGAAGACTTATTTGATCAATGCTGAAATTTAAAAAAGTCGCTCGTGGGATTTGCCACCGGACCACCATATTTTCCTTTGTGTTCTCGAATAGTTTTGTGGTTATGTTTTTTTAAAGTGTTTAGATACCATAGTAATTTCTCTTTTTTTCTACTTATCGAACTATCATTATGTCGGTCTGATTGCCTCTGTTCTTCTCTCTTTAGCTTATTTCTATTGGAAATATTCTATTGAATACTCTAGATAATTGATAGAAACCCTTGCCTATTCAAGATTTCGATGTTCCGAATGCTCGCAGCTTATGAGATTTTCGTTCATTCCTTCTTCATCTTTATAGTCATCATGATTATCGTCTGCAGTGGGTGGTCGGATGTTCAAATATACTCTACGTATTTTATGAAACTAGCAAGCGCTGAGCGCATTAGACTGAAAATGAAATGACAGGTGGTTTGACAATAAGTTCTACAGCCACATTTGGTTGGGTACATTGCTTGCGCACTTTATGCTCCATGTAGAATCCATGATGTAGGCGAAGGAAAGAACATATCATGAATTGAACTGGATTAGTCGTTTTATTGCATGAAAGTTTTAATAGGACGATGAAGCTTTGGATATAGATGAAGGCGATCATGCCTACCAACTAGATTGTGGTGAACCAGATTCTATCATTAGTGAGGATTGGTGGGTTAAAGAGGTTAGAATTAAAGCACTTCTCAATATCATCGGTGTAAAGGTGGTATCACCTGTTTTTTTTAAAGGTTTTCCTGCAAATCCGTCGAAACGAGATGCGTCAAATGGAAGTAAGTGGAAGAAAGGCTCAGTCACCTGGACATGGTATAATGGATGTGACAATTTCATCATGCACACCATGTCCAAGCTGTCGAACGATGATATATGATGAGGAAATAATGTCCGGATGGAAGGTCGTAATCACAGCGCAGTAGTGTTTCAATTAGATAGAATCCTGGCGCCTTTTCTTGTAACTTCGTTACCTGTCTAATTTGTTTCAAGTAGCAAATGCTACTTCATCTTTGTGGAAACATAGTGTTCAGGTTGATGATCAAAGCCTAATTACAAATTGTCCACATTGTTACGTGCCTGACGAGGAAGCTAATCTAGGAGCTGAACGGAAGGGGGTGGGTATATCGTTGCTTAGTACCACTGTAATATTTGTTTAATTCTTGAATTTTTGGTCTGCCATTAATGCTTCACCCTATTATTTCGTGGTGTACCAGTACTATCTGGGCTCCTATGTTAGTAATTATTTGATGTTATAGGTATAGACACAATCTTAACTCTTTTATTTACTGCCTTTTTCTTCTTAATGGCAGGGTATTTTGTGAAATATAACTCGTATGAAGTGCTGAGATATTTGGAAAACTCCGGACCACAGGTGTATGCAGTGGAGAACGAACACGCGCTGTTGTCCTTACCGGGTAGCAGCGCACTTCACCACTACACCATCCGGGTCACGTGTTCGTTCCCCACTGCATACACCTGTGGTCCGGAGGACCCGGATGGTGTAGTGGTGAAGTGCGCTGCTCCCCGGTAAGGACAACAGCGCGTGTTCGTTCCCCACTGCATACACCTGTGGTCCGGAGTTTTGCAAATATCTCAGCACTTCATACGAGTTATAGGTATAGTGTTCAAATTTTTTTTTTTAATCTGTCCAGGTTTTCGCACCAAGGTTAACGGTCCATATGGAATGGAAGGAAAAGCCAGTGATGAGCTGGTATCGACCAAATATTTTTGATGTAGATCCTGAGGTTCCAGTTTAAATGCTTCTTGTTGTTTTTCGATAGACAGATTGTTGCATATCTTCCCTGTTCGTTTTTATTTCTTTTATAGATCTCCAGTGACGTTCGAATTGAAGCTACGCAAGATCTTTGCCTTTCCTTTGTCAGCCCTTTAGTTCTCCGCCGCGAGGTGGAGACCCTGTTAGCTGCAGATATGTACGCTTTGAAGGTGACTAATTCCCTTTTTCATTATAATGGTTTTAAACAAATCCTGAGTTTCCAGGATCCGAAGATTATGAGCAGCCACCCAGTCGTCTTTTGGAACATCGTTTTCTATCTTCGACGTCTCTCGTTGCCTTCTCATCTCTACATGTAGCGGGACCTTTTTCTCAAATTCTTTCCGCCACATTAAAATTTATTTATAGGTGGATATCACCTCGTGTTCATATAAGATGTGTCTATGATCGTCCGTTGGACCATGTCGGACCCACTCCTGTATATTTTGCAAACCCTAATCATAAGGTGTTCTTTTCTCGTTTTTCTTTTCTCATTTCAGTTCGCTTTCTAATGAAAGGTTTTTGCGTGCAATAACTAACCTTCTTCTAGATTACTTCATCCGAAAAAGTAAGCCGTTATTTGCCTGTGTGGCGGACTGTGACTCAGTCAGTGCAAGAGAACAAGCTTTTCACTGCGATTCAAGCCCTCATTAACGATAGTCGAAGAATAACTGACAATGGGCAAATAACCCTTGGCCAACATTTTCCCGTGTTTAGGTGAGTATATTCTTCTTACTCTAATGAATTCTAACTCAGTTTGCACTTTATTGGTCTGCTCCTTTCCCCATCGTATTTATTCGTTTTTAGAGATATACAATTTGCTAGTTTGGATGCATTTGGTCGCAGTTTGTTACGAGACAATCTTGACAAGCAGTACATTGAGGAGTATAGCAAGCTTCCACCTCGAATTATGTGCATCCTACCGTGCCAAGATAAGCCTCCAAATGCGGTGCAGCGCGCCTGTCGAAAGGTGTTTCTTCCTCTGGATTTGTTCTGATTTGTATGCATTTTGCCTAGTAACGTGTTAATATGAGGAATGTTCTTCGTCGCTTTGCATGATATGGAGTTCTTCTATCCATATAGAGATTTCTTAGCTTAATCTGCGATCTCGATTTGATGTAGGATGAATACTTGATTCTTGTGCTTGCTCTTCTGACATTTTATCTTTAGTGTTTCCGTGAATCTCTGTTTTACATCATTGTGTGAACTAAACCCATTGTGTTTATTCGTGACTGTTATGTTCTTGATCTTTGAGCGAATGCCACTATTTACATGTCCAGTGCTTTCCATCTTCATTTGTAATATTTTGCACAGTTCTTTTTTATTTTAAAGGAATATTTCATACTCAAAAGGAGCCATATCCTTGTATCTTTAACTATTCGGTTGCTATGATGTCGTATATTTTTTGTTTCGGCTAACTTGAGCTGTCTACCAACGAGACCTGTTGTCGCTTAGGCCTGCTATGTTTCCCATAACGAGCGGTCATTGCTGTTACACGTGTCGTGCGACTTACGAGATGGGTTCGTATAACCACTTTAGTCCGTTTGTGATAATCGATCTGGTCTACCATAGTTGTGTTTTTCTTGTTGATTGTTGGTTTAAATCTTCCTTTAGTTTCTTTCCTAGCGAATTTTGTATGCGGTTGATATTATTATTTGCCATACTGTAATCGTAGTAAAGATTGTCTTCCTAGAGGAACTTCTTGTTTTTACGTCCTATTCGTCGGCAAGTATTAAAAACGGTGATTTTTATTACATCGGACAAGGCAGCTTTCGCCGGTGCTCTTACGTGTAGTCTCCTTCACCTATAGTTGTTAGATGGGCCGTCGGGGGCTGTAGGTTTCGGGGTGGTGTGCGCGAATGGTCTTTAGAATCTCTTCCCAACATTTTGCCGCCTCATCGTGGCTGGGTGGTATTCCTAGGTGTTGGGCTGCGATCTACTCTGGAGAGATTCATCATGAAGCAAGGTCTCCCAAGCTGAGAAAGGGTCCGACGTTTCCATGTTAGAGTGGAGCTTGAGAACACATATTGCGTAATATTTTATATTAGAAGTGGCAATTGTTGAAGACGCAGTGCTAGAGGGAAGCATTCTTTGACAGAAAGCAAGTTGGCGGATGAAAAATCTGCGGAACCTTCAAGGAGTATGCTGACAGAACAGTCTCAGGAGGATTCCATGGTTGATTTGGCCAAGAAGGCACGAATTGAATTACATACAGGCGAAGGCAAGTTCTTTCAGCTTGATGACTTTCTTGCCGGAGTTTTTGACATGCACAGTGCTAAAGCAATGGTGAATAGTGTGTTATCATAAAAAGTAGGTGGAGAGATACGTGAATTGAAAGTAGCTGTGGTTACGAATGGACGTCCTATGTTAGCCCGCCTGTAATTTTGCACCTTGTATTTATAATAGTTATACCGATGTGATATGGGGTATGTGTAACGCAATGGTTAGAGGTACCTTGCATTACACACTGTATTTGTTGCTGATTTGATCTGGAGCTCTGGTGTTATCAAAACTTCCAACCTTCCGAGGTCAGAAAATCGATACTAGGCTTCTCTGAGAGGATAGTTGAAGTTGGGAGATGAAACGATGCTTGGTGAAGTGATGTCAACGCTGAACGCTTTATGCTCGTATCCTTTTATGCTAATTTCAACCGACTTAGCTGTTTTCGGAACTATCTTTCAGAAAAAGAAATGTAATTGACATTGGAAGAAATTAAGATCCCTTAGTTAAGTCGTGTTGCTCGGATCATGGCTTCTAGATAATAAGTAAAACGATGATAATCGCAGGTCGGTGGCATGTATATGTTAAAGATGATAAATAACTGCCAATAACTAAAAGCTATTTAAAGGATTTATTGGTGCTCACAAGGGCGCGTGTGGCGCAGTGGTGGGAGGCGCCTTGCAGCATATATAGAATAGATTCCCGCGCTCGTGGGTCTCCAAGCCTTCCATCCTTCCAGGGTCGGTAAATTGGTACCAAGCTTGTCTAGGAGGATAGCAGCGTCGGCTCTATACATCGGTAGGCCACTGCGGGTCATTGTAAAACCTAAATATGCATTCAGTTACCTCTAAACGATGTTTAATGAGGTATAATGCATGGCGTATCCCTTAGGGATTGATCAACGCCGTGAATTTTATCCTTTTTTATTGAGGTTACAGGCGTCTCTTTACTGGAATGATGTTGTTGCAGATAGTTCAATATTAATGGCTGGTGGATGATTGCTAGTTAATTTCTCAAATAGTTTTCAGCTCGTTTAACACAGTGGTGACTGTGTAAGTGATAAGTAACTCATATATGCGGGATTTCTTTAACCTTCCATTTTTGAATACAGAAATATATTTTCATAACGAGCTTTATTACTTGATTACTTTGGTGGCCCAGATTCGAGTTCAGCAGGATCCAGTATAGTTCCCATTTTCCTCTTCAGCTAGAGTCCTTCTGTATAAGATTGGTCTACTCGTTGATCGATAAGGGTTGATAGGATTGCATTCTTTCGATACCATCGAGCGTTTTTTCATAGTCGATAAAGGTTTGCAGAAGACTGATGGTATTCACAATGCTTACCTTTTATTTTCTGCCTACTATAATTTTTATGGCAGAGTATTAAGCGAAATGCAACCATAATTTTGCTGAGATATTTGCAAAACTCCGGACCGTAGGTGACTGCGGTGGGGATGTGAGCTCCCCAGATTAATCCCGCTGACGGGTGATTGCTGGTGGCAGAAATCGATAGAACTAGCTGAGAGACGGGCGAAACGAAGGACCCGTATGGTGTGCTGGTGAGCGCGTTACTCCCCGTAAAGGACAATAACACGTTCGTTCCCCATCACAGATTGTATTCTGGACAAATCCCTACGACCAAGACAAGTTTTGGATGTGATTCATGCAGCAGAATCCCTATCAGAATCCTGCTTGTTTCCATTAGAAGTCCTTAGTCACTGCTCAAGAGCAGAATAACCTTGCTCGAGCTTCTACACTGGTTCTACCGCTTCCTTTTGAAGATGGGTTGTGGTGTGAGTTTCAAGAGGGCTATCTGGTCCTGGAACTCCACATAATCTAATGCCTTCTTGACTTGAATTTCAGAGGGAAGAATATGAGATGTTTTTTCTGCAGCAGAAATTTTGAAGTCGAAAACGAGGATAGTGAAACGAAAAAGGCGATGAAGAAATATTATTTTTCGTAATCACATCCATCTAACATTATGAGTGGTGATTCCATGCTTGTTTAACACGGCTGTTAGAAAAGCATTATGTTTTTACTAATCTCGGCACCATTTCTTTAGACCAGTTACTTTTTGAGGTGCTTCCAATTTTTTTCTGTGTGTTCCGATATAATATTCTTGCGAAGACCTTCTACCTCTGGCGTTTCTTACGGAATCTACGTCTTATACTAGCATCAAGCTTCAGTATTCCTCTCTTCTCGAGCATCTGCCTATAAGTTTTGCAGATACAGTCCGAACTTCTTGTTTGAGAGACTTAAGCGTGTGCTGCACAACCTTTAAGCTCTTGGCCTATCAGCTAGTAGTTTTGCTGGGGTCTTCCTTGATGTGTAAGTTATATGACTAGAGAATTTCGTTCAGAGTGTTTCCCCCACAAACGACCTGTCCTTTTCTCTTTGGTCGACGAGAACAGTTATTTTCTAGCAATCGAACCTTGCCATTAAGGAAGCGGTGATCAGACTCAGTACTAAATGATGGACTGGAAGACTTATCGAGGAAACACCACGTTTTCTTTGTGAGGATGTGATTGACGTCCGAATAATAGCAGTAGTCCATTCCTGTGTTCACCGACCACATTGATTCTTGGGCAATGGTTTTTTATGGGGAATTTGCGTTGTGCTGACCTTCTATTCTTATTTCTGTCTGCTATCTCCGTAATCACTTCCATTGGCGTTTCCTAGTCTGGATTCCAGTAACAGCTTTTTGAAAATTTTTATTCTACGGGTTGCTTCTTCCGGGTGGTAATAAAACGCATTAAATTTAATCTAGTCACAATCTTAACCCTTTTATTTACTGCCTTTTTCTTTTTAATGGCAGGGTATGGTGCGAAATATAACTCGTATATAATGCTAAGATATTTGTAAAACTCCGGACCACAGGTGTATGCAGTGGGGAACGAACACGCGCTGTTGTCCTTACCGGGGAGCAGCGCACTTCACCACTACACCATCCAGGTCCTCCGGACCACAGGTGTATGCAGTGGGGAACGAACACGTGACCGCATTCGTTCTTCACCGCATACATCTGCGGTCCGGAGTTTTGCAAATATCTCAGCATTACATACGAGTTAATCTAGTCAGTTTCACGGGTTGGCAGATAGCAGTTGGTGCTGCAGCTCATTTGACGGATATGTTGAGGACAGAGAATGGCCAAAAGAGGTGGTAGAATCTTGTAACAAACGACAATGATAACATACGCGTGTGTGGGAAAAGGCACTTGTAATAAAAGCTTGTCTCAATGAATGACGAGTTCTGACATTTAAATAACTTACGTCGATTTCTTTATTTTGTTTTTATTTTTGCTCACCAGTGCAATCACCTGAAATTTGTTGTGATTTTTGGCCTGAGTGTGAAAATCAGAGTTAGATGAAATGTTGTTGTGCTGTATGTCCAGAGCGGAGCAATCTCCATGGCTTTGTTGTTTTGATCTGGTTCCATTGACGTCGTATGCAACCTGGGATCGCCTTTCACTGGTTCTCTTATCGCCTGGAAGCTGTTGATGGAGTTCCGAATTTGTCCTGTCTAGTTTACTGCTGGTTGAGCTATCTGTTTCCTTGGAGTTTTGAGGCAACCTAGATGGGGCATTGGAGATGGAGATTCTCAGGTCATGACCACAAATACCATTCGCTTGCCGTTTTGGATCAGAAGAAAATTTGTCATTTTGTGGTTATTTTACTGCTAGGGCGGCGGTTAGTCCCTGAATTCAAAAGAGCGACTTTCTATAAACCTCGGCATAAGTAATCGATAACTTTATTTGTGTGTTCTTACGAACTGACCTTG